TTCGTACTCTATAGTGACGGGTGATTTCCTCGGTGCTTCCATTCGGAAAAGAAACGTGTGGAGGAAGGGGCAAGAACATATCCTACGAAGGACTTTAAAAATTATTGTGCTATGATTTGGCGTGCTTTCAGGACTGGTGCTAGTAACCAACGGATTCCAATTTTAAGCCGTAACAAAAATTAAGCCTTGGGGCTGAGCCTACCTCATAGGGTTGTTGTGAGAATAAAATGGAGAAGAGAACAAACTAAACTGCTTTCAGGTCCCCATTGGGAAGAACGTTCGGGAATTATGGGGTTGCCAGTTCTAGGTTTGGAAATACCTGGAGATTTGGGAGGTGGAGCCTGAGAAGGGTGGGGTTTGGGGAAAGGAGGGACCTCATGAGGTACAATGCCATAGAGTCCACCTTCCAGAGCAGCCATTTGCTCCAGATGAACTGATCTGTCACCTGGAGAGCAGCTGTCATAGCAGGAGATCTCCAGCCACCACCTGGAGGTTGGCAACGCTCAGAATTAATTAAATAAATACAATTGGTATGCTCCTGGCACATTTCAGTTGAAATTCAACTTTTGCCCTGAAACAGAGATTCTACACACATCCCTTTATTGTTATTACTATTTCAATCACCTCAATAGTACACTTATGTGAAAATGCTTTCCATGGTTTTATTCTGTTCCCACAACAGCCCTGTGAAGCTGGCCAAGATGAGAGGGAAGACAAAAGACAAATCATATGTACACTGAACATGGACTGTATTTTGCTTACTGTGGTATGCACGGGAATTATTTAGGGATGCTTTGATTGGTCCTAATAAACAGGAATTACACTATTGTTTTGAGAACTTGCGAAAATGTCCGTCTTGCATAAAGTGTGCTGTGTTTTGGTTTATAGATGGCCCAAATGGATGATAAAAGATTGATACTTGATGGAGTTGCTGTCATGGACCCAGAGACCACACTAACAAAACCTACAGTCTGCTTCTGCTCAAATTAGATCAAGTCCTAGGACTGTGCTTTTCTTTTAATAGGATAATAAATTGGCCGTTACTTAATCCAGGATAGCTCAATACCACTTTACCACATGACACATAAAGTAAAGACCATTATAGTATGCACTGTGATGCCTAAGTGGTATGAAACTCATTGGTTAGTTTGAATAATCCCATGGCAAACTCAGCAGTGGAAAAGTACAAAATAGTGGTCTTGTGGCACCATACACATTCATTGTGGCATAAGCTTTTGTGAGCCAGAGCAGAGGGGTGTTTGAAAGCTTACACTACAGTGAATTTGTTGCACCTTTGAGGTGCCACAAAACACGCCAGTTCTTGGTGTGCAGCAGACTAATACAGCTATTCCTCTGGAATTGGAATGTACATCTGTTAAGGACATTGCACATGCAGGAGGAACTGGGCTCACCCTGTAGGCAGGGGCCAACTGGGAAGTTTACAGGGTTCAGGAGAAAGCCAGGATCAACATCCCTACTGTGCTGTGAGTCAGCACTGCAGGGGCTGCTTAGCTCAGACCTGGCCAGTGACTATTCTGGCTTCTAGCTGCCAGTGGCCATATCAGACAGTGAGCCATTGGGATCTACCTAGGACATTCCATGGCTAGTCCTCTCCTACCTGTGTGAGAAGTAAACACTCAGACTCCTAGTTAAAGGTGCATTCAAATGTACTCTGTGAAATCTTTAGGCAGGACCAAGCTCTCTCTACGGAAACATATTAGAGAAGCCCAAACAAGGAAATTAAAAGAAAAATGCACATTAACTAAGCACTGTGGCAGACAGAATGCAGGATTAGAATAAAAACGGGAACAAGACCTGCCTTCTTTCCACCAGAACACGAGGCAATCTAATCTTGCTTTCTAACTGTAGTCTGTCAAATGCCTTGGGAAGCTCCAAACACAATGCATGACACTGATGGCCATTCACAATTTTTTTTGTCCCTCAGCATACTATAACAATCCTGACATGAGTGACTTTGCCAGAGATTTCAAGCCTATTCTACACCAGGCATACTGAAAGCACTTGTATGTGGAGGAAATGCCAAAGTTCTATTTTGTACAAGACAGAATTTTGAAGCAAAGGAAGTGGCCACTGTGGCTCAGTGGAAGAGCATCTGCCTCTCCCGCTGAAGATCCCAGGTTCAGTCCCTGGCATCTCTAGCTAAAAGAATCTCAGCTGATCAAAATACCTGGAAAGAGTAATGGTCTGACTCAGAATAAGGCAGTTTCATATGTTTCAATGTAAGTACAGAGCACATATACTCCCTGTTTCTTCCACATCTGTGTGATGCCCCAAACCACCCTACATCTCATTCAAGAGAACAAAATTTGTCTTTTGAACATGTCTCAAGCAATGCTCCCTCTAAGATGTGGAGTCTTGTGAGCAAAAATTCTACTCTGTGAGCGACTGGCGTTAAAGTTGTGAGCCAGCAATTTGGCTATCGCATAAACTAGTTTGCTCTGGAGCCCTCCTTTCTGATCCAAGACAAAAATGTGTGAGCCAGAGGCTAAAAAACTGTGAGCTAGCTCACACCGACTCAGCTTAGAGGGAACACTGGTCTCAAGGAATATGAAAAAGATCGTACCACAAACTCTGGTGAACTAGGTCCAGTTCACATATCACAAGCATCATACAAAGCCAGTATGCAATGCGTAACTGAAAATTACAGCAACTTAAATAAGAATTCATTAGTCCCCCATTAAAACCATTGATCAAGGCTGGAAAGACTGGTGGCTTACCCATTACAAATTTACAACTGCCTCAGTCAACAAAATTTTGGCTGTTAATCTGGGAGTGCCAAACATACAGAGAATTATATAATTTACACACCAAACATCTTTTTTTGGTCTGTTTTTGCCTTCTAATTCAAGTAACAGCTTTCTGAACTTTAGCTAGCACAAAAGGTCAAAATACATTTGGGAACTGTTATAGAACTCTTGTGGATCTCCAAAGCTCAGTACAGATGGTTACTACTGGAGATTCCCATATTGAAATGGGAGGGAGGCTTAATATCTTTTTCATGTGATAACTGAGCGTTGGTGTTTCTGAATCCTAACAACTGTGCACAGGCTGTATGAGAGAGAGGAAAACCAAAATACCACCGGCAGAAGAAGTGTTTGTTAAGAAAGTTGGATGAACGCATCAACACAATCCCCTATACTTTGCGGGCTGTGCTCCTCTCTATCCTACCAAGCATTTCACCACCAAGTGTTCTTACAATGATCAAATGGTATTTCAGCACGCTATGTTTTCTGCATGAATTAGCTTTATATTATACTAGGAATAAGGCCCGTTGTGGAAATAAATACAACGAGATCTAGAAAGAGACTCTGGGAGAGTGCTCTGGCTTTGGGCAAACAGTGTCAGTTTGCTGTGGCAACCTCAGCAGGGTATAATGACAGAGTCCACTGTTTTCTCCAGAGGAACTGATCTCTGCTCCCTGAAGAGCAGTTGTAATTTTGAGTGATCTCTAGCCCTCACCTGGAGATTGGCAACAATTGTTACCCCGGATGAAATGGCTGGTTTGGAGGGTGACGTCTATGGCATTCTACCTGTCTGAGGTCCCACCCCTCTGCCAACCCCACCCTCTCCAGGCTCCACCCCTGAAATCCCCAGGAATTTGCCAGCCTAGAGTTGGCAACCCCATCTCCTTCCCAGCTAACCATCAACCTACCATTATCTGCCTCTTTAACTTCAGCTGACTTCTGCCCTCCCTTCTGCAGAGCAATTGTAATTCCGAGTGGTCTTCAGCCCTCACCTGGAGATTGGCAACAATGGTGTCCCATGAGGGACTGACTGGTTTGGAGGGTGGAGTCTATGGCACTGTACCTGTCTGAGGTTCCACTCCTCCTCAAACCTCACCCTCTTCAGGCTCCATCCCTCAAATCTCCAGGAATTTCCCATCTGGAGTTGGCAACCCTATCAGGACTGGCCCCAATATGTTTTCTCTCAAAGGCCAAAATAGGTGACAGGACGCAGCTTAGTTGCCTACCAACAGGCACTGAGGGGAAAGTAGGGTTGCCAGCTCTAAGGAGGGAAATACCTGGAGATTTGGGGGGTGGATCCTGTGGAGGGCAGCAGTGGGCGGTGGGGGGGGCGGTGGAAGGATTTAGCAGGTATGTCATAGGGTCTACCCTCCAAAGCAGCCATTTTCTCCAGGGGAACTGATCTCTGTCATCTGGAGATCAATTGTAACAGTGGGAGATCTCCAGGTCCCACCTGGAGACTGGCAACCTTAGGGGAAAGTCAGCTGCACAGCAGGGGGTTGAAGAGAATGGTTTGATGGCTGCTGGGCCAAGATTGGCAACAATAGTTCCCCAGGAGCAAATGGCTGGTTTGGAGGGT